CGTGGTGCCAGTGGTACCGATCGATGTCACTTTTCTTGTCAGAGATGGCTCTGACAGTCGTGATGCTCGTGTATTCACTGTCCGCAGCGCTTCCAGTTGGTCGACTGTATCGTCGGAGGTGGTTGACTCGCCAATGGACTCTACATCTGCCGGCAAGGCCTCTTCCTGGCTGTGCTCAGGCCATCTCTTAGATTGCGACATTTCATCTACCTGAAGTGAGATGGGATCGACTGGTTCTGTTTGTTGAGTCTGCCTTTCGGTTGGGATTGCGATCCGGGCCGAAGGCGATAGCGAGATTTGATTTGCCGTACAGTCGCCAATATAGATTCTTTTGGTTATATAGTTTCAATCCCTCATTCTGCGCAATCCAAGTATGATCTTCATGGGAATAATTCGCGAAGATTCAACGTTTGCTGAAGTGGAGCAGAAAGTATCGCGGTCTATATGGAAAGCGAATGAAGCAATAGGTAGCAGTGATGCACAATTCGACCTGAAACAGACAGGAAAGCGAGACAGATATAAAGAGGAATGATGGACATTATAATTTCGCAGGTGTGAAAGCGACTGACACGATGAGTGGTAGGGGAAAAGGGCCGGTGGGGCCTCAGGTAGAAACCATCATGCAAACTAGAAGAAGAAAAGGACTAGACTCTGAAATGACTCAAGACGATGGATATATCGAATAGTAGACTACCGAGTTGGCTTGTTCTAAAACGAGATTAGATTTAGAGATTTATAGTAGAGAGGTAGATGATCTTGATTAGATTGTTGGGAGTGAAGAATAGAGATATCGACATCTGCAGCGTTCAACCTCAAGGACTATCTAGATACTAGGCTATCTGCTTGCTCCTTGTTAGACCGACACAGCTAGAGGCCGAGGCCAAAAGTGCTTGGACGCTATAGTTTCGGTTGGTAATGTCGGCAACAACTTGGCCCCCCCGCATGGTCGAAGCCCAGGTAGGTAGTCTAATCATAAAAGAGTCAAGCTGTCCACGAGACTGGTAGCCAAGATGCATGGTGTATGTACGAACCCTGGAAATGAGGTGATTGATCATCGTCCAAGTGGCAGTGGTAGTGGATATGTGATGGTGCAAGATTGAGCTCGGAATGAATTCCGTGGTAGCAGAGATATTGACTCTCCAGAGTCCAGAGACTCCAGACTGGATACTTCAATCACAGTCCACCGGGATTGAAAGAAGGTTATCGATGACCCCAGATATCCGGATTCCAGATTACGCTCCACAGTCCCAGCCCATAGTACAGTAGTAGAAGATACTCCATATTGAGTTGGAGACAAGAGTCTGGAAAGAATGTGACTCTACTACTCGGCCTTTTCTCCGCTCAGAGGATTCGTTGATTGGCTCGAGAAGTGAACGGGTCTGTTCGCTCTGACCACTTAGAATTGCCAGGTTCCGGTTTGCCGCGATGCCGGTTTGCCGATGAAAGGAGACGTCCACCATGACTTGGCGTAGCAAAGGCAATAGGGCATCCGTATATGCACCGTTGGGTATGATTCTTAATTTCAGATGGTCATCGACGGCTCTACGACGTAAATCAACCCAGTCTGCTATCCGTCTATACAGTACATGTTTTTTGGATGATGGTCAGTCACTTTAGTTGGTGCTTGTATCTCAAGGGTGCTCGCTGTCTGTTCCCTTCACCGAGTACTGAGAAGAATTCGTAGACAGAAATGCTCTCTCTCTCTCTCTTAAGTAAATAAGCAGCAGTTCAGCACGACTAAATGATAACATTGCACTTTGTACAGAGAGAAGGCTCTGGCACCATCAACAATCAACACAGTGGAAGGTAACATCAAAAAAGTAGCCAAAACTCTCTAAGCGATCCGTTTCCCCACAAAGTTCAGCCAATCAGAAATGTTCCTGTTCTTTGAAACACTGCTCTTTCATGGTAAGGTTCCCAAAGAGACCTGTACTTTATACTTTCTATCACTGAAGAGAGAGGTATCTGGTAGATACTTCAGGCAGGCATCTAATTTGTACCTGATCAAGAAACTCACAGACAGGTCAAGGCATACTTTAATGATTATAAAGATTGCACAGCATGACATCACGAATCATAGACATTGAATTTCTTCTAGTGTAATGTTCAGGGGCAGCGTACTGTCGTACTACCTACGGTACTGCTGTACACTATGGACTGAAGCACGTGGAGCGGTCTCCAGTCCCCACTCACTATATGTTGCAAATGCAATTGACACCTGACAATAGAATTGTCCAAGAGCATTCTATTCTGCTCGGATTGATTGACTGAAGTATATCTGCCCCTCTTCAGACTTCATCAGACCTATTTTTGTTAACGATATCGCGATGAAAAGGGCAAGATCCAGTCACCTCCTAAATATGGATCATGTGGATTAGAGGCTTGTCGCTCGTCTAACCGAAGCGACTAAGAGTCTCGACCTAGCTCGCTTCGGTGGCCTTGAAAGTAGATGATTTCAACCTCAGCAACACATTTCTCGACCTGTGCTTCGCTCCCTGGGGCTCTGAACGTCTCACTATGTGGTTGATAGATCTTTGAGAACTACCACTTCAATCAGTACTCGTCTGCTTCCCCTACAGCCTTCCACGAGCGACTAGGTCACTACTGGCAATCGGGCTATTAGCTTTGTTTCATATCAATTATCGGACGGACTTCTTCAGTCAGGGTGATACTGCTGTACACTCTGTTTCGATCCAGACGAATCCGTTCGCTTGAGCTCGCCGACCTGCCAAATGTCGTCCATTGTTCTCGCTGCTTGTATTGTGGCCCTGGTCGCCCTGTACCTCTACCATGTCAACCGAGCAATGACTCAAGTCCCGGAGGAAGCTCGTCTATTATCTCCTCGCCGCTGGACCGTTGAGGAAATCAAGGAAGCATATAGAAAGGCGATTGAGTCTCCGATAGATGTGGGCAAGAGCCTTCCTCCAAAGCAACATAGACGATACATTGTTGTGGGCGGATCAGGTATGTCAAACCCCACCAATTGATCCAAGGCAACTGCTAATGGACCTCAGGACTTGTTGGAAATTGGATTGTAACCCATCTTCTTGCGCGCGGCGAGGACCCAACTGCGGTTCGAATTCTGGATCTTCAGTCGCCCCGTCAGCAGATCCTTGACCAGGGAGTGGCCTTCGTCAAGATCGATATCACCGATGCAAAGGCCGTTCGGGCTGTATTCGCGCAACCGTGGCCGCAGCAGGTCGCCAGCCTTCCATTGACCGTCTTCCACAATGCCGCCGTGATCAGACCCGGAGAGAGACACAAGGCCTTTCTCCAATATTGCACCAGGGTCAACGTCGACGGAACTAGGAACATCTTGACCGCGGCAAAGCAATACGGCGCAAGCTGTTTCGTCTCGACCTCGTCCGGATCCGTGCTGCTTCGCCGTCCATCGTTCTGGATCGCACCCTGGACCAAGTGGCCCAAGGGCGTCGTGCAGATTATCAGTGATGCGGCAGAGACTCCCAAGGAGCACGACCAGTTCTTCGGCAACTACGCCGTGTCCAAAGCCGAGGCCGAGCGCATCGTCCGCGCCGCCGACAGCCTCGAATCCAACTTCCGCACGGGCTGCATTCGACCCGCCAACGGCATCTACGGCGTCGGCGACACTACCATCACGGGAATGTATCTGCTCAAGGGTGGAGCTCCCAGGTACGTTTCCTCCATCCCCTCGGGGGAAGACCGCAAGCCTAACTCCGTCAACAGCTGGACCTACCCCGTCATCCAAAGCTTCGTCAACGCCGAAAACGTCTCCATCGCCCACCTCCTGTACGAACAGCGCCTGCTCGAGCACACCGCATCCCCAGCCCAGTTCCCCAACATTGGCGGCCAGGCCTTCACCGTCACAGACCCCAACCCCGCCATCGCCTTCAGCGACATCTACCTCCTCATGACCACCCTTGCCAAGACCCCCATCCGCTTCCCGCGTGTCCCCCCCGTCCCCTTCCTGCTTCTCTCGTATCTGCTGGAATGGTACGCCCTCCTGCAGCACCTCTACCTGCCCCGTCTCCTACCAAAGATCACGGGTGATCTGGCGCCGCTCCAACCCGCTCTATTCGCCATCTCGGACGTGCATACTTTCGCGGACGACTCGCGCGCGCGCATGGCCCCTGCCGACGGGGGCTTGGGCTACGTTGCGCCCATTACGACGCTGGAGGGGATGTGCAAGCAGGTGCTGGAGTGGAATCGGAGTGCTGGAGCGGAGACTGTTGCTGCGGTTGGCAGGAAGCGGGTGCTTAGTGTTTCTGAGGAGGGGGTGGATGTGAATCTGGTGGTTCCTTTGAAGAAGCTGTGACCATGTAGTATCTGGTCTATCAATGAGGTTCTCGCGGGAACATACTTGATGTGGTACAATTTGCTTTGCATTGCTTACGTGCTGGCTACTTCTAAGTTGTTGCAAATCTCTGAATAGCACATTATAACCTCGTTTCGACGGACGTCTATATGAATTGCCATTGCCATCAAAAACCTTGTCAGGACCTCGACTCTAATTCAGGGAAGCCAAAGTGTATGAGAATGTCCTCAGCCCCCGCCGCCGGATGGCAGATTGACAGTTTCTCCAGGCTGTCTTCCACTAAGCCTCAATGTAGACAGCACCCACAACTCGCTGCTTTGTCACCGAGTTTGCAACACCCGTAGCATTCAAGGGATTGCGCCACTCCTGCCGTAAATGCTCTAAGCAGTGCCAATCAACTTGACAGTCCTGGTTGCAACAAAGTGGCTGGCTTTTTTTCACCAAGCGATTTCGGCACCGGCTGGTGCCTGTCAGGGCTTACTGCAGGCCACTATGCGGGCTTGGTGTGTTCGTCTCGTGAGCCGATGCAACGCGACGGCTGAAGGTATTTGCTGAATGCGAAACGGCCATAGTAAGGAGAGGCACGTTAGACGGAGAAGCCATGCTTAGGCAGACTTTTTATTGTACCGCCTCCAATTCAGTCATAAACAGAGAGACCCAAGTGGAAATCCACTTGTACCACAATATCGTTTGTGCGAGTCGATCTCTACCGTGCCTGCTGCTGAGCAAGTCGACGTTTCTGCTCCAAAATCTGCAACCGCAGTCCCTCCGAGGCCAGTTCCACGTCAAGGATGGCACTGACGCCCCGCTTCCAAGTCTCCTCCAAACTCACTAGCTCGCCCTGGCTGGCCTCCTGGGCAAGCTTCCTCTGCTTGTTCACCGCCTCCGCCGCCTCTTTGGTCTCGGCCAGCTCCTTCTCCAGACCCCGGAGAATATCTTCCAGCTGGGAGTTGCCAATTAGCCACGCGTTCTTCCCGTACTCCTCCAGGAGCGCCAGATTCTCGTGTCGCATGGAGAGATGGGAGCTGGCCGTGTATGCTCTCTGCAGGGTGCGGCGCCATGCATCCAGATCAGGTGCTTCTCCATCCGTCGAGCGCGCAGGCGGCTCCGGTGCCTCGTAGCGTGACAGGTCGATTCCGCCGGTTAAGGGCAGCCCGGCGGCCTTGCGGTCGATCTCCTGCTGTATAAGAGGGGAGAAACGCGGTTCGGGGAGCTCGGGGATGGCGGGATGAAGACCCGAGGCATGATCGGGAGGTAATTCCGCTGCGACGAGTTGCTGTGCAGCTGCGCGTGCTTGAGCAGATGGCTCAGCGTCGATGTCTGGTCAGGAGGTTAGGAGTTGTGGCCGGAAAGTCGTGTGGTAGACTGTGAAGACTTACAGGGAAGGGAGTCGTGGGATTCGTTAATGAGTGTCATTTTGCTGGAAACACAGCGATTAATGTTTCAGTTTTCTGTTGAAGAATGCCTGGTGATATTATCCTGAGGAGTGCTCTCAATCACCTGCAACCAGACACGGAAGCCGTCATTTTCGCTACTGTCTTGGGCGGTGAGGGAATGCTTAGTCAGCGGATTTATATTCCATTGGCTGGAGTGTTTCCCTACATCTCGTCGTAGGTGAAGGATGTCTTGGAGAGTTCAGTTACCTCTCTGACAGAGTGAAAATATCACTGGCCATGTTACCTGTTTTGCAAATCAGTATATGTCTTGAAATTCGGAGGTCCGTCCGAGATCGAGGCATATTGTCGATCGGTTCTCACCTTGCAAGGCCGAAATCAAGGTCACCTATGCACGTGGCTGAAACAACTATCTTGGTTCTGCAGGGCATGGTAGTATCTGCAGGTTAGATTGAATGACATCATGTTGAGTGCCTATCTCTGGAAGTTATATTAAGCCAAGTCAGCAGGACATCCAGTGCATAAGTGCAATATCTGAGATACCTGAGAAGATCCGAGGCTTATCATTCCTGGTTAGCGAAAACTACCAATGAAAGCACAGCTCACTCTCAGAGGATAGGCTGAATGTCAGCTTGGACGTGAGGTGATATGGGATGCTGCCAATGCGCTTCATTATCTGCGTTGGTGTTGTCTGAGCGCAACCAACCGTTATTCGAGTCATTGAGGTGGTTGTCTCGTTGCGGTCTAGGATCATACCCCGCAATATTCATTACTACGTTGTTGATCACGGTCAGCTTTGTGCTAGCTGGACTATGGATAGCTTGCTGGCTAATACTATAGTGCTTCGAGAACTAACGACATTCACAACGTGCCGCGGATGGGTCAACAAGTTACAAGACAGTAAACTGATGGCAGTTCTCGCCAGGCCGTGACTGCTATGACCTAGTTTTAAGGACCGCTAGGGCACCGGTGTCAACATATTTGAAGAAAAAAAGAGCTAGTTGCAATGCACCAGAAGAAAAAAGCAGGGAAATGAACTCCGAGAAGAAAAACGGCTTGCGGACGGAGTCGCATTGACTGCGTCCCCAACTCGCCCAGTCTCCCTCTCGCATCTTCATGGGATTAAATGGGTGGAGACGAAGACGGACTGTTATCTGACCCGCCTCATGCTCTTTTCGTCGAACTAATTGACAGGAGAACGAGCAAAGGCGCTCTTGAGCCGGGGTGCAGGAGTGCAAAATACTGACGTGCAGAAGTTGTGATTCAGACGTGTGAATCGACAACTTCTGCAGGCGTTCTGCCGCTGCACTACCAACCCCGGTTGGTTGACTGCAGAAAATAACGCGAGCTTAGCTGTTGCATGGTGGACTGCTAAAAGGGTAAGGCTGCTTGGACGCTGGATGCCTGAGAAACAGAGCATCTTGCTAGGAGATCTCTTGCTGTAGCATATGTAGCAGAGGTCGTTTGGAGTTTGCCAGGGAGGTACATAAGCGACCGAGAGTGCATACTGCTCACTTTCTTCGTTGGTAACGGCCCTGTTATAGCATCACATGCGATCTGGTTCGGAGCTTGGTGACTGTCCTAAAGAAGTATGCAATATCCCTAGAGAACTAATAGAAGAACCAAGCCTAGAAGCTTAGAAACTAAGGATGCAGACGGAATTTACTGATAGCCTGAAATGGAAGTATCTCCGTCTGACGAACATCGTGACAAACCTCCACAGGGCCCCATATGATTTTCCATCAACCATAAATGACCCACTAATAAATACTCATCACGATACCAGCGCATCACCACCAATAAATGCCGGCTTCTGCAGATCTCGCGGTATTATTTTGATGAAGCGGGGAATGTACGACCAGGTACCCAATCAAGTATAACGGCGACAGAGGGCAGCGTGATGGCGGCCACAAGCGATGCTACCCTCTGCTGCATTCTTGTTGATCTGCTGGTCATGCGCTGACTTGCTGTACGAGGGTCATTTCCTGTTCCTATGTGGACCTCGCTTGAACACTGTCAGCCTGGCCATTTGGAGATAACAATGCGATTCGATCGATAAGAAGACCGCGACTCCCGCGGAAAAAGCAACAAGCGGAAACCTACATTTCTGATGTCATCACCATCACAACCCGCATACCACGAGCTTGGACTGCCCGCACAGTTTCGTCTGCAAACATGGCGAACTTCAGACTCGGAGTGGCCTTGGCCGGGACGGTAGTGACGGCTCTTGTACTGTTGCAGCTGCTGTCTATTGTGCAGACGTACAATCCATCACCCAGCTTCAACTTTGTTGGCAAGGGATCCAGATGGGAACACAGGGCGGCAGACAAGGTCTCCGATGATAGTGTTTTTCTGCTGGGGGCTGGAAAGGCAGACATCACTGGGTACTGATAATTATATATTTTGCTCCATGCTATAATTCTTCGTTGTGGATGGACAACCCGCTGACTCTACGGTGATAGCCCGGTGGTGGAGGTAGCCCTCAGCGGATATGCTATGCTGGATCAGATTGGCACAGGTCTGCGACAGAGAATTTATTCCCGTTCCTTCATCTTTGCAAACCCAAAACAGCCGGACGACACCTTTATCTACATCGTCATCGACGCTGTGACGGGTGACACTGCCGTGCGACATGGAGTCCTCCAGGCGCTCGCGGGTCTGGGTGGTGATTATGCGCGCTACGGCGAGCGCAATGTCGCGTTGACTGGGACGCACTCTCATTCAGGTCCTGGGGCCTGGAACAACTATCTACTTCCGCAGATCCCTAGCAAGGGGTTCGATAAGCAAAGCTACCAGGCTATCGTTGACGGCGTGGTCCTCTCCATCAAACGCGCTCATGAAAGCTTGGCCCCCGGTCGCTTGCGCTTCGGCTCTATCGATATCCAGAATGCAAATATCAACCGAAGCCCTTATTCATACGACGCCAACCCGGAGGAAGAGAAAGCACGCTACTCGGCCAACGTAGACAAAACGATGACCCTCTTGCGATTCGACAGGGAGTCGGACAACAAGACCACTGCCATTCTGACCTTCTTCCCAGTGCACGGCACCTCTCTCTACAACAATAACACTCTCACTACAGGTGATAACAAAGGCGTCGCTGCCTGGCTCTTTGAGCGGAGCGTCCAGAACGATGCGAATTTCGCCGACGACTTCGTCGCCGGATTCTCTCAATCCAACGTTGGCGATACGAGCCCGAATGTGCTGGGCGCATGGTGTGAGGATGGATCTGGGCAGATGTGCCGCTACAGCGACAGCACCTGTGGTGGCAAGACCGAGGACTGCCATGGTCGTGGGCCCTTCTTCCGTGAAAAGGACAACGGTGCGAAGAGCTGTTTCGAGATCGGACGGCTTCAGTACGCCGCGGCCAAGAAGTTGTATAGCCAGATGGATGCGAGTAATACTCTGATCACTGGAAGCTCTAATGTTCGCTCCTTTCACGCTTACCGCGATCTTGCTGGCTATACATTTCAGTCGCCGTTCAATTCTAGTATGCTGACGACATGCTCGGCGGCACTGGGCTTCTCTTTCGCCGCCGGTACGACTGACGGGCCTGGCCTGTTCGATTTCACACAGAATAGCTCTGGACCTGCAGAGTCCAACCCGCTGTGGTACGTCGCTCGAGCGTTTGTTCATCAGCCATCGGCAGAACAAAAGGCGTGCCAGGCACCCAAGAATATCCTCCTGGACGTGGGAGCCAACACGGAGCCGTATGCATGGGAGCCGAATACTGTGGACATCCAGGTTCTCCGCGTAGGTCAGCTATTCCTCATCATCTCTACGAGTGAGGCTACAACCATGTCTGGACGGCGTTGGAAAGAGGCAATTGCAAAGTCAGCCAAAAAGCTTCTGTCCATTGACAGTCCCTTGGTCGTTTTGGGGGCTCCTTCAAACAGCTACGCTCATTACGTCGTTACAGAGGAAGAGTATAGTAGGCAACGCTACGAGGGGGCCTCCACCCTCTACGGGCCGCACACGCTCGCGGCGTACATCAATCTGACCCTCAGCTACCTCCCTTATCTAGGCGATTCGCCCAACCCTGCCAGTTTACCGGAGATGCCCACAGGATTGGAGCCGCCCATCAACACCGACAGGTCACTGAGCTTCATCCCGGGTGTCGTATACGACAATGCTCCCATTGGAAAATCATTTGGTGACGTGGTCGCCTCGGTAGCCAAGACCACGTACAAGCCAGGCGAGACCGTAAACACGACATTCGTCGGAGCCAATCCGCGAAACAACCTGCGTCAGGGATCTACTTTCGCAGCCGTCGAGTGGCAGAATCCGGGCTCAGGCACGTGGGAAGTCGTGCGTACTGACAATGACTGGAACCTGCTCTACCATTGGAAACGGACCAATACTATCCTGGGATACAGTGAGGTGACCCTCGAATGGCAGATTGAGGATGACTACTACAATGTGGGCAACCCAAAGCCGCTCCAGGCTGGAACGTATCGCTTCCACTATTATGGCGATGCAAAGAATGTCCAGGGCCAGATCAAGTCTTTTGAGGGCATTGGCAAGCCATTCACGGTGACTTTGGGCTGATCCTGTTTTATGACACTTGTGAAAGATGAATCATTAGCTTTATCGTTAGGTAAGAGCTATGAACATGAGTCTATGATAGTCATCAAGTCGTCGAGGTTATTAATAGGCCAGACTGGCAATCCTCTCTCCAATAAGTATCAAATGCCTTTCATCTCCTACAAATTTAGACTTCAAGACAGCGATACATAGATCCTCAAAGAAACTACTTTCTCTTTATTTCAATGGACAGATCAAAGATCTTTAAATAATCTCGTCTATTTAAAGAGATCCAGCTGAGTCACCATTGCCAATGGTGCGCTGCAGCCTCTCAGGGTCGGCGGTTGGTGCAACACCTCCAAGCGCTTCTTTGTCGCGCGCCATCCAACCTCGTCTCGACTACCAACCATCTCTCTTTGACATCGAGCTTTGAGACAATCAACAAGATCCACAATAATGCATCTAGCCGTGTATTCTTCAGGCCTGGATCGTCTGTCCCTAGTCATGCCAGACGCGAGCTTTCTGCAGCCTAACATAAGGGCTCCTACCGTGAAAGCTTCAATGCTCTTATAACCTCCATTGTCTGCAAGAGATTGTTCCTTGACTTAGTCTATCATTCTACTAATTGTCTATCGCTTTCTTTACTCTCCTTCTTTTTGTCTCCTCCTACCCACCATAATGCTCAATTAGTACGAGTCGACGTTCCTCGCACGAATGTCCATCCACTCTTTCGGTCTTCTCATTATTTATCAAGCACACTTTCTTTAGTTGACAGCAGTTGTCATCGAAATTCCAAATCCTCATACTTTAATACCGTCGAAATGCAATTAGTCCGCCTCAACATCATGCTCGCTCTTTTCGCCATAACGTGCTCGGCTGGCCCGATCGCCCAGTTTACACCCAAGATTCGAGATCTGGAACAAAACAGCCCTAGCCCTGGACCTACAGCATACCCCAGCCCGCCGGCAGTTGGTGTGCATGTACCGACGGCTTCAGATGAAGCGAATGGTGGTTTGGATATTGTTCCCATTACGCCTTCCATGACGGCGGACGGTACTCAGGCGGCGATGCCACAGGCTTCGTATACCTCTACTGAGATTCCTGGATCATCAATGCTTCCGGCAGAAGGGCATTCGGGGGCAGTTACTCCGTTGGTATCTGCAGAGGTTACTTTGCCTTCGTCTACAGCGGAAAGTTCTCGTCCAACGGTGGATAGTGGTATGTCTAGCTCTACCGAGATACTTGGATCTTCCACATCTGCAGGGGAAAAGCATTCGTCTGCGATCGCTCCATCGTCCGCAGAAGCTACTTTACCCTCATCGGAGACATCTGAGGCTGTCATACCGGCCACCTCTCACTCTCATTCGACGTCACACTCTGTGTCAACTCCGAGTGTGTCGAAGTCTACAACCTCCACCTCGATCCCTGTTATCAAGCACAGTCCGACGGCAGGATCTTCACCTGAGCTTTCTACAGTTACACCCATTTCGGTCGTTATCATTTCACCAAGTTCGGCCCCACCTAGCATACCCAGCACAACATCCAGTCTGACCGTTGGTGTCGTTGGACCGTTGCCTGATGTCCGGACGACCAGCTCATCTCCTTCAACGGCTTTCTTTGCAACGGGTCTGCCGGAGACTCCTTCCACGCCAACGGTGACCGAGACCACGATGCCCAGTCTGACTGCCAGCGTGGTAGGACCGCAACCCGAGACAGATACAACCACCTCTTCTTCCTCTTCAACAGCATCTGCATCCTCTCTACCAAACACTAAACCCGCAGAGCCAGCAGGCCAGATCCGTAGCACATCCAGCGCATACTCCACACTCACCACGACACAGAGCACAAGTACAGCCGAAAGTTCAAGCATACCTCCAACCCTCAACTCTACAACTCCAGCCCCATCCCCATTCAACGGAGGAATCACAAGCAGTCAGCTTCAGATCGCTAGTGCTACCGCCAGCGCCGACAGTTACGTCACACCCGTCCTCACACCAGTAATTGTCCTGGTTACACCGGGCGCAGAATCTACCACCACGGCAACGACAACGACAAGGCAGCCAGACCCAGTCGCAAACGCAAACGCAGATCCACCAAGCACCCCTGCATCCGGCACAGGCACTAGCCCTAACGGAACAGAGGAGATAACCACAATCCACGCGACAGCAACCATAACCAAGAGCGTGGTCGTATTTGCTTCCAGCGCTCCTGCGGCTGAACCGCCAGCTCCAGCTGCTAGTGCTGTGGGGACGGAGCCGGGATTGGGCTCTACGGCCACACCTACGCCTACGGCTGCAGCTACTGCCCCCTTCAGAGATCCGGGGGATGTCCACTTGTCCATTGTGCCTGTTACGCCGGGGGTGATGACTGTGACCACCACCACGACCGAGACCGAGACCGTGACTAAAACGGAGAGAGAGACTGTAACTCAGACTGTGACGGAGACTGAGACTGAGAGGGAGACTGAGACTGAGAGGGAGACTGAGACTGAGAGGGAGACTGTCACTTTGCGGGGATAATAGCCGGCTAATTCTTTTGGCTTTGGCAATGTGTTAGATGTGTCAGGAAGCTTGAGTTTTAGAGGCGGATGCACTGTACACTGTATCATAAATTATAATTTTATTTCCCTAGACGTAGTTACAAAATTTGACCATTTGAATAATTCCTTTGCATCCCGTTATGCACAGTAGATCCGCCCTGAACACCGGAACAACCCTAGTCTAGATTAACCGATACGGATGCGATAATCAAAGGTCAGTCAACATGCTGAATTTCGCCTGGCAGTCCCTCAGACTCGCCCACTGGCGCAGCTCCTCCTCGTCTTGTTCCCGGTCGCTCAAATAACTCATTCTACGTCCGTTGGCGTTGGGACTTGTCCCGGCCGCGCCCGGTGTGGGCGCCGCGAGTCCCTCCAATCGGATGAGGGTGTCGATGAAGGCGTGTAAATAGGATTCTGCCTCGGCAAGGGTGATGGGGTTGGGGCCGGGCGTGGAGGGTGTAAAGGTGGTCGTCTCGGTCCGTGAGTGGGGGAGGTTGAGCAAGGTTGACGCGACTTGGCGGACTTTACCGGTCTGACGGACGGTTAGGGATGTTTCAACGAAGGGAGAGGGGGGGAAAGGGTAGATACATACAAAGCTGCCACCGTTGGGCTCCATATTGACCTCGTTGACCGACCGTAGCAAGACAAACAGATCTCGAACGACGAGACGGCGTTCTTCTGCCATGGCCATTCCAATGTAGTCGCTCTGAGCAGCATCATCGATCCCCTTGTGCGTATTGCCCTCCACTTTCACTGGAGTTCCGGGTCCTCCCTCTTCGGAGGGTCGGTGATACATCTTCCAAGTGGCGTAGAGACTCCAGTACTTCTCCGCCAAGTAGGACCTGGTGGCTAGTTGGCTCACGTAGATATTGGCCTTCTGGATCTCGTACTGGATATGGCGACGCTCGCGCATCCAGAGGTCCTCAGCCGCGTCCGCGGAATCGTCCCGGCGAGGGTGGAGTGATAGCTCCGGTGGCACATTGGCCAAAGCCGCTTTGGAATTCTGCAAACATTCGAATAGCAGAGACCGTTGCCGCTCCCAGTCAACGATTTGCCCGCTGCCGAACGCAACCTCCCAAGCGGACAGGGAGTTGTACGAGTTATAGACCCGGACGTTGGCGTTGAAACCCACCAGCTGCGAAACTCGGTTGGCTGGCTGAGGTTCGACATGCGTTCTGAAAATAAACTCGTCGTCCACTTCAAGGGGTAATGGTGGGTAGCGGTCCGTCGGCGTCTCTGGAGGAAGATAGAGGGGGGTGTCAGAGGAGCCTATCTGCTGTATTGATCGGTAGCCGGCGAGCGTCACATAGAACAGACGCCGCGCGAGCTCCTGCTCGATCAGGTCCACTGGGCGCTCAGCTGGACCACTGAGCCGATCCTGTGATATGCCCGACGAAGAAGAAATCGGGCTTGTTGGCCCCAAGGACGACTGTATGGTCGACTGCCGGCAGAGATCGTACACATGCAACATCGTGCGGCACTCGGCAAGGTAGACCCGACATCGCCGAATGTTGTAGACGTATGCCGAGCAGAGACACAGGAAGTAGCTTATGGCAGCGTCATAGACTGTGGCGCTCCGATCGAGGTACCCGACACCTCGAGCTTGCACGGCAACATCATGACAGCGCTTGACCAAGGCAAGGGAGTGGGGAAAGGCCGCTTTCTCTGCCTCGGTCTTGAGATGAAGCTTTGGTCTCCTCGGGAAGGATGCCACCAGGCTCCCGATCATCGAGGCCAAGAGGGCCAGGAATGTCGGGTTGGTGGTGTCCTCCCGTCGCTCAAAGGCGACGCGGAATGAGGGCTCATGAGGGATGGGGACCAATGGATGAATATACGTGAAGAAATCATCGACCAACAGCCGCGCTGTGGGCAAAGAACAAATGGATTCTACCGAAGATGGAATTGAAGAGGACGCGAGATTCTGGTTGACTGCGGATATTGGTGGAAGCGTCGGAGAAAAATCTGACGGGCTGGGAGAGATTGCAGTAGTAGAAGCACTTGGTGAAGTTCCTAGCCTCTGTCTCTTCAGCGCCTCTGCATGGCGATTCGGAGGGCCACGACGTCTGCTTGGTCTGTCATAGGTACAGGGGATGTCCAGGCTTGCACATGACCGACAGGGTGGTCCACTTGTATCACACTTTAGCCGAAGATTAGCCTGGCGGTTCTAATTATTAAGATCAGATCTATAAAGATCTGAACTCGGCAAGAGGAGTACTTTCCTTGACCTTTCGTATACTACAAGCATCACATGCTTTTCGGAGTCTGGTTTTGTTGTCCATTGGCACATCCGAGTGATTTCCTTACCATTTCCATGCCTCAGACCGGAATCATCGGGGATTCAGGCACTCAATCCTGATGAAAGCCGCTATGATGCCAACAGATCCCCGGAATCCTTTCTCCGCAAGAGAGGTGATGCTCCTAAAGGATCAATGATCCGGGGAACCGACAATTGTCGAATGACAATGACGACGTTCAAGGTATGGCCTCGAGATCCCCCTATACCTAGTGCCCGAGGAACCCGAAAGAGAATACAAAGCTACCCCACCACACGGGTCACTGTCGGACGAGAGGTGAAAGATGGCACAGTGAGGATGAAATAATCAAAGATGAAGACAAGAACCATCCACGCGTAGAAGCGATGGCATGGGTTTACCTTCTAAAGTTCGAAGTTGGTTCAACAGTGCAGCCCGAGACTCGGGGAGGTGATGAAACAGCTACCCGAAAGTGGCGGCGATATCGGTATTGTACAATGAGGCACTTCAGTAGTGCAAACAGACTAGATACCGACTGTTCAGTTTCTCGGATCAAGGCTTGGCGAGTAATGCTTGCAAGTACTTATAAAGGGGCAAAGACATTCAAAAAGTCTATCAAATGTCGAGCCGCTGGTCTGGAGACCGTGAGTGTTACCGTTTCACCTCAGCGCATGTCACGTGACGCGTATCCCCTTTCCTGAAGTCAAGTCCAAATAAACTTTCAACTAAACTACTGAGGAGACAAGACGATATCGTCAGGTCTGAACCTCCGAAGAGTCGACCAGAAGCTGGGGACGAGGATTCGAAACCTCGGTTTCATATTGAAAGATCTATGATTTGACTTCGCCAGAACGAAGAACTATCAAACTCACAGGACCGTCCTTGGATGTCCAATTTTAGAACTCCTCATTAATGCAAGTCACTAACGGCATATCGTAAGCTCGGCTGAACCAGTGGTATAAGGCCAAACAGGTGAAGGGTTTAGATTATATTGTCATCATCATGATACTCGTTAGTCATGCCGTCTTGTCGTCCTCGTGAAGCATCACGTTTGTCCTCAATGTCTCTTACCCAGAGGGCAGACCCAGCCGCAGTTGACATGAGGAAGAACATTGATAAGGCAGGAATCAGCTGTAGAAGCAGAGCAACTGTTCCGAATCTGTGTCCGCAAATCAGAAAATGCTTGGCCGGATAGATCAATGCGCAAGACGAGGTACATACGTAGTGTATTGAAGCTGCCGTCGACGGATGCTTTCCTTCCTTTGTTTTTTCGACAGATCTAGCATTTGGAAATACCGCCAGTGATGAAATGGCCCCGCGCGATAACCGGTCAACAACAAGAACATCGGTGTGCCTGCGACGGGGATGAAGTTCAAGGGCAGCAAGACGATAAACTCGATGATCTGCCGCAGAGAAAATGGCGAATACACCGCGCTTTGGGTTGGTTTACCTAGCCGCTTGACAACGTCGTCGCCCTGGGGATATAGGACCCTACAAGCGGAGACGAGCTCGCCATGGCCCTCGTTGACAAGAACAGCATCAAAGATGTCCACCAAGGTCTCGTCGACAAAAAATGCTTCAAACAGTAGCGCTACGATGGCCGCTCCTTCTCCAAGAACGAGAAACGCACCATTGACCCAAGCACCGGCGCCTTGGAAGATGGCGAGAAAGGCAACCTGTGGCAGATATGTGAAAAGAAAGAGGATGAAGTAGATAAAGGTAGAAAGCAGGACGATAGGTATCAAGCGCGCCCGAAACAGCGGCCAAAGAAATCGGTGCGACGCAAAGTAGTAAATCCCCTATGTGACGTTGATGAAGCGGTCAGCGAATATACAGGCAACAAGATTAGTAGGATAAAGGTACACGCAAAGGATATAACCAAGCAGCTTTGCTGGGATCCCACAGCCTGTTCATTTCGGTCCTAGCCAAGGCAAAGCTACATTAACACCCTAGTATGTCAATCTCGTTTTTGTTTTCATAGTTGAAAGGGTGAATGTGATGATCATTCAGGCGGCCACATTCAAACATGCCAAAACATGCCAAGAGAGCCGTCCTTATCGATAAGCAGTAGTATCAACGCTATAAAACCAGAAATTTCTTCCCGCGACTCAATCTTCTTTCTTTTTTTCTTTCATACCAAACTGATCATTCCTCCTTATTCACTCTGATATCCACATCTCTCAATGGATCCTGGAGGGGAAATAGGAGGTAAGATGAACGATTGCTGACTTACCCCAAATCCTTCTTACTCTTGTGGAGCGTTTGGAAATATTGACAGCGTACATCACTTTTCTGTATTGCCGGACTGGCCTCTGGAGCCATACGGAGTGGACTAAAGGACAAATTCGCCCCTGCACGTTGCTGCATAAGTGTACCAGGCTCCGGATATCCCGCTATAGATTTTGTAGTGGCTGTTGACAAAGTCTGCGACCTTGCCAAGGTTGCTCCCTACGGCCGTTTGAATGCCACTACTGCGCATCTCCCAGAGCCACCTTCATTCTCGCACTCCACTCCTCCCGCTTGATCCGTAAAAGAATCAAAGGTATTCCACTGAGTAGACAGAAGAGACAGGCTGCCGTAAAGGACCAGCCAGTACCGATGGCATCGAATAAAGGCTGTGCGATCACCGCACTCACACAGGACAAACTGTTACGCAGCAGATTGTTCACTGCAACGCCCATGGTTGATCTCTTGGGTGTAAACTCGGTCAGCATTGTCATGGTCACATTGGTGAGGATCATTCCCGCGAAGCCGTAGAAGAAGTTGCCAATCAACTGCCTGCTGTTAGTTTTGCCAATCACACATGTAGGCCGTACATACCGGTACCACCCAGAATTCATGCTTTTCCGCCGTCCACCCCCACCACAGCAATGCCCCCGGGAAGAGGATACCCGCCAGCAAGCAGTTCTCGCCGAGGCGGTCAACTGGGTGTAGTATGAGATTGCCATCGTTGTTGAAGCGTCCCTCTTCCCGCGCCGTCCGTTTCATGATATAGTCCTGCCAGCGACCGCCAATGATCGCACCAAATAGCAGACCCAGGCCGCCAGGAATATACGCAAGACCGACAATGACGGAGCTCCACGAGTATGGCGGCAAGGCAAAGGTGTCTTCAATGGAGACGCAGATGAGGTAGTATGTTGCGAAAACAATGCTGGTATAATACACTGTGATAAGGATGGGCGGGTACTGCAGCAAGGTAGCCGCCTCAATGGGTTTTAATAAGAAGTTAACAACTCTCTTAGCAGGTCTTGTCGACTTCGCCCGCTCATTCTGCTGGTTCTCTTCAAGGTTTGTTGCTGTCTCTGGCATGAAGAACACCATGATCAGGAACACAGCCCACCCATAGATTACCATGAACCATTGCGTACTGCGCCAGCTCCACCGGGTGACCAGGGCACCGCCAATGATGGGAGCGAACATGGGACCAAGCATCGGGCCAAGCATGAAGACGCCCATGGCTTTGCCTCGTTCGTGTGTTTCAAACATATCAGAGATGGTACCAGCACTGACGGCCTGGAGGGATGCGCTAGCAGCACCGCCGAGAAGGCGCATTGCGACGAACATGCCAATGTTGGGGCTGATTGCTGCCAGGATGCTGAAAAGACCAAGAAAGAAGAAGGAGAGCAGGTAAACTAGCCTACGACCATAGAGTTCTGCCAGGTACGACCACCAGAGAGGTGTAACAGCGACAGAGAGAGAGCCAAAGGCAATAGACAGGTTCACCACAGAGACAGTTGTATGAAGATCCTCAGCAATCATGATGAGGCAGGCTATCATTCATATTAATAATGAGTCCGTTAGCAGCAGCAGCAGCACTTAGACAAGACCTACGAAACAAGACACCACTGCTCAGTGGCACGACCAATCCTCCCCCTGCCACTATGGCCGTTAAGAACCACTTGCGTGCCGCAGGATATTGTCGCGGGTCTTCAATTGCTGGGACAAGACACAGAAAAGATAGGAATCCTCGAGGAACATGACGGGAACCATCTCGATCATTTCTCTCTTGCCCCATTCCGATATCGTCATCAAGATCGCTTTTTTCCGTGCTTCTCGGTGAGTCCATATTCTCCGAATCCGGTACTGATCGAGGTGTTGCGCTTCTGTGACTGTCGGACATGTTTATCACGCACTTTAGCTTGGGGATCTCGCTTTATGCAGCTACCGCGAAGCCTGATATTTGCCATGTTGTTTTGGGTCAGCGCTATATACCATGATCATACTTTCTCCCTGTGTTTTCTATATCTTTACTCTAGGGGATACCTCTTACAAAAGGACCTCCGTACGGGGAAGACCCACATCGGCCGAGCCAATATAGAGAGTACAGGATAGTTTGGCAAATACCAAGAAAGTCCATATGGCTGAGGAGCAGTGAATAGTGGATCCCCTCGGCCGAGCCCACCTATATCTCCTCATAGGCTTGCAGGCTCGTGCGAGTCTAATATTTAGTCTACTGAGGTTGAAACTGGACAGCAGCCACCAAATAAGTTTATATATATATTTTCTTTAGTGAAAGCGATAATCTTTAGCTTAACTGAGTATACGGAAGGATTCGGGAGGATCCGCAGACGCCGCAGCCTGCAGCCAGCCACCCGCGACGCTCAGGCCATGATCACGTCCTCCCAAAACCGTATTCTGATCTGTCATAAGGTGCAGTTCTCTATTAGAAATGGGTAGTTGGGTGGTTTCATGTACTGATATGTACAGTCTAAGTCTAGCCCGCTGTCGGACGCTGTATTGATACACCCAAGGCACCAACACCGGGATATGGATATTACCCCTGAGGCTGCTTGGCCGCGTTAATAACTTGACTGTAAATGACAGCAGACTTCGCGGGTTGCCTAGGCTTCGGACGAGGTAGATCAGACCAGATGATCTTGCATGGGTCCGGAATGAAGGACACAGAGCGTAAAAGGAGATGCAATCACAAACAGATTATTCTCATAGATGTTCGCCAGAACAAACACCACTACGCAACATCCCTATTCCCTCGTGATCAACTCAATATTGGCCAAATACATCGCAAAAAAGCTCGTCGTATCCGTTTTGAACCGATCGCCGTACACATTCAAAAATACTCTTAGGACTAGAGTCGAATCTGTAAGATACGAAATGAGGATGTCTTAATAGATTAATCTACTGTACTAGGATATCAGCTCCACTGCGAAGGATTAGAAAACAACATCGGGTCAACACCCGCAAGATCAGGGAAATCAAATTCCCCTATGCTCATGAATCCTAGGAAATCCCTAGTATCTAATTCCAAGCCCGACGAACCCATGTTATCCAGCTCTGATCTCGTCAACATCGGATTGTCCTGTGGCCCTGGCCCTGGGGCGAGCCCAGCTGTTCGATTGCCCTCCTGGAATCGAACTCGATTAATCAACCAGATAATGGCTGGCCATGCCCCAGTGGTATGTTGGCCGCGGATTTCATAAATCGCGTTTGCTACCTGTAGACCCCTTTGTCGAAGATCGGCCCACTCCGGGGTCTGAAATGCAGGGCTACAGACCTCAGAAAGGACATAAAGGATGGGGTAAAAACCAGCGTGCGATGAAATATGCCATTGAAATGGCTCATAATCCTTGCTCGAGGCGATGGTACACCAGTTCTCTACAATTGTGGCCGCATCCATGAATATACTTTGTAAGTTAGCGGATGTGAAGACATTATTCGCACCTTTGGGGGTGGTTACCTCCTTCGTATTGCTGGGCTGATGATTTTCTCGCGGTCCTGGCGAGGAATCTGGATCCAAAATATGACCCAAAATTTGGATTTTAGATGAGCACTGAGATGCAGGGCCATTGATTGCAGGCTGACCCTCTTGTCACAGTACTGGACAAGATCATCTAGTGCCTTCTCCAACTCAGCTGCCATGGCCTCGGCAGATTTTAATAGGGTTTGAAGTTCAGACAAAACTTGAGCTTCTCCTAAAGACCCCTGGGAACAGGCGCGGATTCTCTTTCGGGATGCATGTGTGATCTGAATAATGCGCCCATAACATTGAGCGGCCGTGATTCGAAGCAAATAGATAGTCATGTCGGTGAATTTAGGGGCATCTGAGAGTCTGGTAGAGGGTACTACTCCTTCTACTAGGTCAACATCGTCCACATTGAGAGGGAGACGCGTATCAAAGTCAGACTCATGGATCGAAGGAGCAAAGCCATGACCCTCTGCAGCCCGAAAGTCCAGGTGGCATATCTGCGCCCATAAACGGCGGCGCAACTCCACTTGCACTGTGTCAATCGTTCCCCGCGGTAGTGCTAGTGGGTCACGATGGAGGCCTTGAATAGTGGCCATGCGAATGGCAAGACCGGTCAGGGGCCACACTTTGCCTATATCATCTTCCGGATATTGAGCTGTCTGCCAAATGTATTAGCTGTGAATGGCTAGTCTTCCACTGACACAAAAAACTTACCAAAAAGATGACGAATGCCTGTAGAATCTCAAAGATCCTTGAGGTCATAAATTCATGTTGTTTCAGGTATAATTCTGTCCCAGCTCGGTACCGTCGCAGGAGATGGGATTTGTGGGTGTTGAAGGCTGTAGAGATATCTGTTTCCTTCATGCTATTAATAGCTGCATAGAAAATTGACATGGCTAGCGGCTCAAATGCATCAGATCGATTAGGGTCGAATGCCATATTGTTACTGTAGCTGCTGCCAACTGGAGTCTTGTCTATTAAGTAATGGGTGCGTATGAATCCATCAAAGCGACGAGCTAAGCTGGGACGATGCACTATGCGGACTATAGGATCGACATTGGCTAGGAAAACGTTGAGCAGTAAATAGCAATCTTCTCGAGTATCCGGATAAAAGCTGTACATATCAGATGGTGAAGAATCGCTGTCACAAATGAGACGATCGCCTTGAGGCTCATTCTCGTCGTTGGGCGACAACTTTTGCGACTCGCTGAGTAGAGATTGGATATCTTGAATCTGGTTGGTGAGATATCAGATATTCGTTCAGTTGCACATATATTCTCTTCTCCTACAAGGGTACAGGATTCATCGTTTTGCGCACCTCTTCCGCCATCCAGGCCCAGTGTTTGCCCGAGATGAATCGAGGTACTCCATTCTCTAAGATAAGCACATCTTCCTGTGAGCGGCGCTGGGGGGTTGCCGCATCTTTGGGAACAGGCGAAGATCGGGCGGTAGGGTATGATTCCGGCGAGGCAGGACTTTGCTCCGACGCTTCACAGGGCAGCGCCTGCGCTTGGGCCAGAATATTCGCCAGACGCTGAAGTCTGGGATTGATCCTACTCACTGTGGAGGACAACTTGGTAGCGGTTGATTTGGTCACCCGGCTGGATTCTGGGGTCAGTGCCGCCAGTCCGGGTGACTGAGAGGAAGACACGTAGGAACAGGAATGATTGCCTCGCTCGCATGTAAAACAAATGGGTTGTCGGCGATCGCATTTGACCTTTCGACGACGACATGGTAAACAAGAGGTGATGGGACGAGCGTAGTTCCCGAGGAGGGAAGCGGAGATAGAGGGAGACGACGATGATGAGGGGAGAAGAGAGGTGGCACTTGACTGGGCATACATGATGGACGCTGTTGAGCCAGACACCTAGATTATAAGAACGGTAGTGGTCTTCAATAACCTATCACCAACCCGAGATAGGTAGATTTAGCCTGGCACTTTTTTTATAATGGAGTACAGCAAGAATGCAGAGACAGAGCGATCAATAACATGGCGGATAGCACAAGTGTAGGCACTTTGGAAGGCAAGGTTGCCTGTTGCAACGCCGCCCACACCGTCGGTGTCGTTGGTAGACTTGTCGGAGATGCTATTAGCGAGTTTGGCCTCCAGGGAACGCAGGATTTTGCCAGGGTTCTTCTTCCAGAAAATTTTCTTCTGTGTGGCCGGTCTTGCCGCAGCCGGGGTAGCTGCATTTCAAATGACTCTTATCCTCGCGCTTTGTTCTTTGCTTCCCATTGTAGCCAGTGCTGCTTCTGATATTGTTGTTGTTGCTTGCCTCGCTTTTGGCCATTTCTTTAGCCTTCTCTCTTCCTTGATGGAGAGTTGTCTGGCTTCTTCGACGTGCAAGCGTTCGTAGAGGTAGTCAAGATCAAGAGGATTATCCAGTTTAGTCGATCGAATCCAGTCATATGTCTCTTTCAAGGCGCGAATTCCATGCATTAGATTTTCAACCCTGTCCGCCAAGAGAGAGTAGGCCGCCGGGGAGGACTTGAATTTCCCAGTATCATTGAATAGAGATAATATCATGGATACTTCTGCGTGGATTGTAAACTCCTTTGAGCGTAGAATTGCGTTGGAAACCTCTGAAAATGGGTGCCAGGCGACCACCTTCATATTCGGGACCGCTGCCATTTCTCGGGTAGCTCAATGTAAATACCGGCTACACTCGAGAGGTACCCATGCCGCTTAGTCTCCAGGTATATCAAGTTCAAGTGGTCTTCAGCTTTTCGCAATTCTGTGTGCTTTGGTTTCGTGGAATATAGCTCCAGCTGGTTGCCAGTGGTGTCAGTGGAGAAGACATTCCCGTAGATATCGAGAGCTATCACAATCTCTTTAGACATTGTTCCGGGGATCAAATAAGTCAGTTTACAGTATATAAACCAAATGATAGTCAGAGATAGAGATCAATAGCAGGGATGCACCTGCTTAAAGCTCCTTTAAGATGACCACCTCAAAAATTGTGGGCAACAACACCAGCGATGATGTCAATTTCTCGATAAGCATGGCGGTGATGGTTCGTGTTTCCACCACCTTCAAACCCCGGACAGCCATCGTGCACTGCCAGAACTACGACACATCTACGCCAGTTGACTCAGCATCAGTCTATGACTCGATGACCTCGCGTGGAACCGGTGAGGGGAGCAACTACGAGGTCTTTCGGGAATGTCTCTCCAGCGCAATCGTGCAAAGATCCGATAATGGCAGACCGAACCGGGCACCCAAGCGAAAAGCGCAGAAATTCAAACGCGGCACTCGGAAACTCGCTCCTGAAGGAGCGGGGACTGACACCACGGATTCTGATCCTTCATCATTACCATCCCGGGTGAATCCAGAAGAACTGGCCGAGTTCATTGATGTACGAACCCCGTCCTACAGGATCACGAGGGTATAGAGGCATACTGAACAGAGACTACAGTTCCTCGCATCAGAAACCTTCCCCTCACTACCAACAGACCTCCAAACCCTCTCCTACTCATCCATCCAGCACGACCCTGTCCTCGCAGACAAATACACCCCCACCCCGCTCCCCCGCTCCCTCCTCGAGTCTATAACAGCGACCGTCCCCGTCGCCGTCTCCGACTCCCTCTCCGTCTACGGCCTCGTGCCCGACCCCTCCGACGTCCCCGACTTCTTCACCCCAGTGCTGAGCGAGTACGTAGCCAGTGTGACCGCCGCGCCGCCGGTATGGGCGACCACGCGCACCGACGCCTGCGAGATCTGCGAGCGTGACTGGATCCCCCTCTCGTATCACCATCTGATTCCGCGCGGCGTGCATGCAAAGGTGCTCAAGAAGGGGTGGCATGAGGAGTGGATGCTGAATAGTGTGGCGTGGCTGTGTCGGGCGTGCCATAGTTTCGTGCATCGGATGGCGAGTAACGAGGAGCTGGCGAGAGAGTACTATACCGTCGAGAGGTTAATGGAGAGGGAGGACGTACAGGATTGGGCGAAGTGGGTGGGAAGGGTGAGGTGGAAGGCGAGGTGAATGCACTGCGTCTAGCCTGGGTTTTTGGGATCATGCAATTCTTCCTTGAGATTAGATTTAGAGACGTAGTTCTGTCATGAATAGTCTATATAGATAATGATATCCTAATGTACATGAGATGCAAATCTCCAGGTATATGCGACTTTTCCCAAACCTGTGTATATCTATCATGTCAATTTGCACAAGAGAAAAGAAGGCATTCAACCAGGTAAGAATACAGTAACCTGCTAGACGAGGTTACAGAAGAGCAGGTCATCTTGGTAATCGAGATAGAGGAAAGTTTAAAGGTATCTCTTCTCATAGATCTCTTCGTAGCACTGGATGTGATCACCCACAGCAAAGTCGGTCCAGCCTTCGAAGCCGATACCACATTCCGTGTCTTTGCGCATTTCGGTCACGTCCTTCTTGACGTTCTTCAGCGATGCAATCGTGCCTATACATCCAGTCAGTCATTTCTGCCTTAAGTGTGAGTCCCCAAAAGTATAAAGCATACCGTCATAGATCGTGTCCTGTCCCCTCAACACTCGAACCTTCCTGGCCCGGTGGATCACGCCATTACGGACTTTGCATCCCGCAATAGCAACCTTCTCTCTTCCCTTCAGGGTGATCTCGAAGATCTGACCAACTTCTGCTTCACCCGTGACACGCTGTGTGACCGATGGCGCCAGGTGCTCACTGAGCGCCGCCTTGACTTCATCCATGAGCTTGTAGATAATGTTGTGATTCATGATTCTGACTCCCCGCAGTTCCGCCATCCGGGACATGGCAGGGTCGATCGGCATATTGAAAGAGATGATGTTCCCGCTTGCCGTGGCTGCATGCTCAATGTCGAACTCACTGATGGGCCCAACTTCGGAGCGAAGCACATTGGCGTAGACTTCGTTGTTGCCAATAGCCGTCACAGAATTGAGCACCGCCTCGGCAGAACCGCCAACATCGGCCTTGATGATGAAATGCACCGGTTTGGGTCCGGATGCATCCTGGTCAGCAAAAGTTTCCGTTTCCTCGTTCTCCTCTTGCCGTCGCTTTTCCTGCTGTTCTCGACGTGCTACGTTGATAGCCGATGTGTCCTCACTCAATCGCTGAGTCTCCGACTTCTCTTGGCGATACTCCACGACGTCCTTGGCATGCTGCTCGTCCTCCGCCTGAAGAATCTCGGTACCGGCAGTGGGCTGCTCCCTCCAACCATCAATTTCCACTGGCATGCCGGGAGAAGCTTCGGAGACGGCGACACCGGCTTCATTGCGAAGCGTGCGAACACGAGCCCACGTTGTACCAGCAACGATGATATCTCCCGGTCGCAGGGTACCACGTCTGATGAGAGCCGTCGCAACACGTCCATAGCTCTTCGTTGTAGCTTCAATCACCCAGCCTTCCACCGCCCCAGCTTTGTCGGCTCGATGGTCAAGAACTTCCGAGAGAGTGACGATAGCCTCCTCGAGTTCCAACATGCCCTGGCCGCTTTTACCGCTCACCCCGATAGCCTGGACATCGCCACCGTAGTCTTCCACATGGACACCATGTACAGAGAGGTCTTGCTTGACCTTTTCTGGGTTGATACCTTCTTTGTCGATTTTGCTGATAGCGACAATGATGGGAACGTTGGATTCGGTGGCGTGCTTGATGGCCTCAATAGTCTGTGGTTTGACACTGTCGTCCGCAGCAACCACCAGCACGACAATGTCGGTTACATTGGCACCGCGACGACGCATATCCAGGAACGCTGCGTGGCCGGGTGTGTCCAAGAAGGTGATAGTCTTGCCCGAAGGCATAGCTACGGAGAATGCACCGATGTGCTGTGTGATACCCCCGTGCTCCGATGCGGCGACCGACGACTTTCGGAGCCAGTCCAGAATGGTGGTCTTGCCGTGATCGACGTGACCCATAATCGTCACTACTGGTGGCCTAGGCGGCAATACGGACTTGTCTTCTGGCTCGGGAGCAGCAACCAGGTCCTGGTCATCGGTCTCGAAGATAGGTTCGAAGTTGTACTCACTCGCGATCAAGCCTGCCGTTTCAGCATCAAGAATATGGCCGTACGAGACATCTTCAAATCCCATTTCTTCCATCCTCCGAATGAATTGTGCCGGCCGCACACCAATGACATCAGCCAGGTTGCTGACGCTGATGAATTCCGGAAGGTAGAGAGGACTGGGAGCCGCCGCCTCGAGCTCCTTCTGCCGAGCCTTCTCTTTCTTCTGGCGCTTACGTTCCTGGCGGCGACGGCGGCGGTCGTCTTCTGGGTCAAATTCTTCGTCGTCAATATCATCTCCTCGTTCCTTGCGACCTTCCCACCGCTTGGGCTTTTGCCCGCTGTGAGTCTCTGCTTCATAGGTCTGTTGAAGTTTTTCCAGGGCTGACTGGTCCCATGTCCATGGGTCTGCCTCCGGTTTGGATGATTTGCGAACTGCTCCAGAAGCTTGGCGGTTGGCACCGCGGGTTTCTGAAACCTCATCCCTAGCATTCGACTGTCGCTGTTTTGCCATTGACTGTCTCTCGGATTCAGTTGATGCAGGAGGAGATTCGGTCTTGCGTGTCTTGCGTCCTGTCTGCACAAGGTAGTCTTCAAGCGCGATGTCCTTTGGGCTTAATTCCCCTAGTCGGTGTCCAGAGTTTTTGTTTTCATATTCCGACCGCAACGACTGGCCCAGCCTCCGAATCTTTAAGGCGTTCTGCTCTTGTTTTATCTGACGAGGCGACTCCAATTTCGGTTTTGGGGTATTACAGCGTGGACAGGTGCTGCTCCTCCCGAAACAATGGTACTGGCATCGTGGGCATTCCCAATCCTTCCCTCGAAGCTTTTTCGCTGGTCTGCCCGAAGTCACATCGACATTTTTCTCTGGTTGGCGCTCCCGTAACGAAGCAGAGGATCGCCTCGTTCCAGAAGCATCGAGCACTCGTAACAAGTCGTCCGTCTTTTCACGTAGCGCAGGTCTCTGCAGTCGTTGCTTGTCCACCTCCTTCTCCTCCCCGGCGGCTACCTTCCTTGCTACCAACGAATCGCGAAGCGCTTGTTCTGCCGGACTCAATGTGGCCGGCTTAAGCGCCTGCTTAGCTCCCCAGCGACCACCAATTTTCGAACCTCCCCATGCTGGACGGGATACCGACCCATCTTCGTTAGGATTCGCTGGCTCGGATGATGATTCAAGGGTCGTTAGGGACGAACGAAAGCTCCGTCGGGGAACATAGGTTGGTATCGGAGCAGAGGCAGATTTCCTGGACCTGGCTGGGCACGACCATTCGGGCCCGTGACGGCGAGAGAGCTGTCATGCTTCTGGGTGAGAATCAAAATCAAGGACTGCAGTCAAGTTCACTTACCTCTACCACTAACCTCCTATGCATAATTCGATGGAAGAGATAACACCCTCTCTCTCTCTCTCTCCAGCACTGCTATGATAGTCGGAGCGTTTCCCTCGGGGGTTAAATTTCCAGACGATACACGATTACATACCCGGTAAATGAAATACGCGTTTCCAGACGAGGTTTCCCGCGCACGAGGTCACGTGCGTCGGCGCATCCGCCGAATCGGAGACGAAGATGTGGATGGCTGCAGTGGAGAGATCCCACCATTCCGCCCCGATAAGAGGTGCTAGGATCTTTTATATCCCTTGAGAGATTCCTCTGGTCTTCCCGGCAAAGAGAGTCAAATCCTCTATCTTCGCGCCGAACCATCTTGTGGGAGATAAACCCGCGCCAATTGCCGCAGAGTTTTATCACAGATCAACTCGGGTCAATTGTCACGCCAAGATGGAGTCGGAGGCTTTTGAGGACATGCAAAAGGGCGGAGGAGCTCTGCGCACCCTCAAGGATTTGGGTGCTGGTGCTGCGGGCGGCATTGCGCAGGTGCTTCTTGGTATGTAGATGTCGATCGTTTATCCTAGTCAACTGTATGCGCTTGCGATACTAACGGCTTGTAGGACAGCCTTTTGGTGGGTGAACCAGAGACTCGCAGATAAGAGTCAAACCTTGGTTAACACTTGTCAGATATTGTCAAGGTGCGGTTACAGACGACGTCAGAGTACAAAAGCGCTCTTGACTGTGCCACGAGAATCTTCAAGAATGAGGGCCCCTTGGCTTTCTACAAGGGGACTTTGACCCCGCTCATCGGTATCGGTGCCTGTGTAAGATTCAACTCCTTGACATTTGCTGGCAAGAATAACTAATAATCTGCAGGTCAGCGTACAATTCGGTGCGTTCCATGAAGCCAGAAGACGGCTGGAGGAGCTCAACAAGAAGAAGTATGCCGACCCCACCCTCTCCTACGGCCAGTACTATCTGGCGGGAAGTTTCGCGGGTCTCACCAACTCCGCCCTCTCGGGACCCATTGAGCACGTCCGTATCCGCCTGCAGACGCAGCCTCACGGCGAGGGCCGCTTATACAGCGGACCCCTCGACTGCATCCGGAAACTCGTTGCTCAAGGAGGCGTGCTGCGCGGTCTCTACAGGGGCCAGAACGTCACGTATCTCAGAGAAGCCCAGGCCTACGGTACCTGGTTTCTGACCTTCGAGTACCTGATGAACCAGGACGCCAAGCGCAACAACATCAAGCGCGAGGAGATCTCCAGCATCAAAGTCGCGACTTACGGCGGTCTTGCCGGTGAGGTCCTGTGGCTGAGCAGCTACCCCTTTGACGTGGTCAAGAGTAAGATGCAGTGCGATGGCTTCGGTGCGCAGCAGCAATATAAGAGCATGACCGATTGTTTCAAGAAGACTTTTGCTGCGGAGGGCTTTGGCGGCTTCTGGAAGGGCCTGGGGCCGACTCTGCTGAGAGCTATGCCCGTGTCTGCGGGTACCTTTGCTGTGTACGTTCCTCTGACGTCGTCGATATGACTTTTGTGCTGACCTGTTACAGCGTCGAGCTCACCATGAGAGCATTGGGCTAGACAGCCTGTCTAGTCGTGTTTTGCCATTGTTTCTTTCAATTAGATATCCAGATCTCGTTCATTTCAACATGAGATTCAAGGAAAAGTTTCATGAGGCAGATAGAGGATGTTCATACTTTATTCATATTGGGAATTTGCTTATATGTACATGGTCGAAGGATAATGAGACCCAGAACGATTCCCCCACATTTGCTTATCATTTCAAGACGTCACCAGCTAGATCGCCAATGAAAAATCCCCAAAAAAATCCTGCCACGCGGTAGGGAAGTAGAACAGATTGAGCCCAGGAAAATCCCACTCCGTGACAAACTGCTCGGGCACAAACGACTGCAGATCCGCCTGCGCATCGAACAGCTCCCAGAACGGAACCATGGCCGCCTGGTCGACGTCCATCCCGCTCTCCTGCACGGCCCTCCCGTATTTCTCGACGCTGAGCTTGAGAATCTGCAGGTAGATCTTACTACTACCGTTCGTGTTACCGTGGGAGTCCGCGCTCTTGGTCAGTTCGCTGAGCAGTCGATTCCCGTGCTCGAGGAGCTCCTGGTGCTCTTCTTTCCGTTCCGGCAGGAGACGTGAGAGCTTGAGGAGGAGAAGGAAGCAGAAGGCACATTTGGCCCAGACAAAGTCCATAGCGTACTTCAGTTTCGCCAGATAGAAGTCCGGCTCGCTGCTGATCAGGCGCAGGTGCCTGCGGGCGCTTGCCTTGGCCAAAACTAGGATATTTCGCTCGGAGGGAGACATTGCCCTGTCGGATGTTAGCTGACGAGCGTGGGAATGCAACTCGGAAAAACGCACGCAACGTTCTCTACGCCCATTGATCGCAGCGCCTTGCAGTAAAGCATCATCTCGGCCCAGCATTTCTGTACGCGTAGTGCGAGCAGGAGGAAGGGCTTTTCCGCTTCGGCTGGGATCGATTCTTCTGTAGAGGGTGAGCCATTTAACATTCTACGTAGCTCGGTAATCTTCAATGAGCTCACCGATGATGCGCAACCAATCACTGATACCAGTCAGTATATTGCTCCATGGAGTTGAAAGGGAAGGGATACGAACTCGAACCAGAGATCAAGTTCAACCTTGACCTCTTGCACGAAACCTGCGATGTCTGAGCGAATAAGAGTCTCTTTGCCGCTCAAGGTATCGTTAATACTAGCTGCTGAAGATCAGCTGAATCGTTCAGAACGTAGGTTAAATGTGTTGGGCTACCTCTAATGGCGTTTAGCTGTAACGATGGTCAGCTTGTTCACAGTGAGGTTGCCTTTCCCTGAACCTACCTCAACTTGAGAGAACAAACGCAAATCCAGAACTGTCGATGATGGATGCTTGAGCAAGGTTCGACACCGACGTGAGTTCCCAAGCAATCGGATGCCCGGTGGTTTGCCGCCATCGACTCGAAATCTAGACGATGATTGTCAAATTCATCCGTACGATATCGATTAAGAGCAGCTTACATATGCTCCAGGACCAATAGCCCGAACCAGGTTCTGGACTTTCGCATCAAATCGCGTTCTTCCTCCGTAGATCCGGAAGTTCCATGTAAGTCTTCAACTTCCTTCATCGACATACGCTGGGTCAGCTCCTCGAAAGCTTCGTCTAGGTCCAGGTCTAAGGCCATCCGAGTAGCAAAGGATAAGATCAACGAGCGCTCCGTCGAATAGCAGGCGACAACGAGCAATGCTTGGACAGACTCCAAGCAATTCAACCTCTTGTTTTGAATGATGACATTAATCCATTTCTTGAGTTCTGCGTGCAGTATATCGGATATCTGAGGACCGAACCCTAACATATGTTAGCAGAGCGCCTTCACCAGGCATAGAGCAAGATTGGCGATTACTGGGTTCGATGCGGCTTCCTATCGTGCAGATAGCGTTGAGAAGGATGCTGCTTCGCGAGCGCACTGAATCGAAGGTGTCGTAGCCAGGGTCGAATATCGGGATATACCTGTCCTGTTCATGGCAATGTACGTATTAGCAAGCTGGAATGAAGATATAGAAGTACTGCAACACATACGCAACCTTGGAAAAATCTGCACCAACTTTGGTTAGCAAACGATGGGGCAAAATACGAACTTTGTCAAGGGGTCTCACGTGTTGAAACAGGAAATGGCATGGTCTGGCGTCATCAAGCCCTTTGAGATAAAGTCCGCAACTGGCTCGTCGCGGATCTCGAAGCCAGACCGTTTTCTCTTTGTCACACTGCCTGCTTCTGTGATAATAGTTTGCATGCGAGAATGGGTAGAAACTTCTCCAGGGCTGGCAGCCAGCCCATGTACCCCTGATTGGTCGCCAGCCGGGGCCACTGCATAATTGGCCTCTGGAAGTTGAGGCACAATGGTGGACCCAAGCATCATCTGAGAAGCAGGGGACATATGGCAATCTGGGCCTTGTCCATTAGGAGGCAGGTTCCCTCTATGAGGCGCCTGTCCCTCAGTGACGAGAACTCGGGCGTCCGAATTTGAACATGTCTGCAGAAGATCACGTAGAGCATCCACTTGCTCCCTAAGCTGACGAACCTCAGCTTCGACATTTTCGAGTCTCCTGCGGAGGCGTCAGTTATACAGGAGTAATCGTGAAACAGGTGCGAGTACATACTCCGTAGTAGGGTCCTTTGGAATGTGGAAAAAGACACATCGCTTTTTTAGCTTGTTACACCTGTAGACAATCAGCACCATCGATCTCTAGCACGAGTATCCATCGTGGCGAATGGTACCTGGTGCAAGGCCTCTTCCCATCACATTTGACCTGGGTACATCAGTGACGAGCTACAGAATACCCTAGACGAAGAGAACATACCTTTGATGTTCGACAAGCGCTACAGGCTCTCTATATCATGTTGTCAGCTATATTGTCGCATGTGCTCACGACAGATAGAGAGAGGGAAACATACCGGAATTCGCTTCTTACCCGGTGGAGCCGACACGACACGGGATGATGCATCTGAATCCATCGCAGGGTGAATACATATCACATATCCGGTAAAAATACTGGCAGCTACTCGAGTGCGGGAGAATCTGGGGAAGTCAAGGTTTCAGCGGAACACTCTGTGGGGAGACACCCTCATCGGGATTAAGCCGGCTCGGCACTGTGTGTCGCATAAATCTACGCTGGAATGGAACAGTGAGACAGGCCATCTTTAAACGGCTGAGAAGAATGGCAGTCGATATATGCTTCGAATTTAAGAAATATAATACAGATTTAAGTCTGAATGATCTCCTTCATGATCAAATTAGAGGCTATCATAAACTGAGCGAGTTATAATTATCAATCCAACTAAATCATTAATACAAGTAGCAGATATCCAACAACAAAGACATGGATAATAAATCAGAATACATAGACAAAGTCCTCATTTTGCCAGTCCGTAAGGTCCTTGAACGCATTGTCTTCCGTGACAGTCTGCTGGATAGGCACACCCTCCTTGTCTACTGGACCAGCACCAATAGCGTACATCGAGTGATCGATGATAGTCGCACTCTTGCCCATTGAAACTCGCTTCTGGGAGTGCTTCTTGTTGAGAACCCAGAGATATACCAGGTTTATACTAAACGTGAGGGTTAAAGCTTGAATGCTGCAAAGGGAAAGGTAACAACTTACATGCAGAGAAGAACCAAAACGCAGAACATGGCGAGGCTGTTTTTCGTTAGTGTGCTGGAACGAGTTGGTGTGTCTCATTGCTTACTTTGAGAGCAGACCACGTCTGTAAAGCGGCGCTTCGGCGGTTGTGTAGAGAGTGGGACCAATGATCTGGAAAACATTAGCATGGAACACTCTATCGTCATTCTGCTGTAAGCACACGCACGTTGCCAACGCATTGTCCGACAATCAACAGGCCAGTCGTCACTTTCTTCTTCGTTTCGCCGGCGGTGTTCGCAGCAGACCAGGAATAGACCATAGGTGCTAAATATCGGTCAGCTACAGTGAAAGGCATGCCTCATAGGAAACATACTGATGCCCGGGTAGACGGAAAGCTGGCGGTTGTTAGCAACACTCCTTAAAAAGGGTATTCATGACCTACAATGTAATATCCAGCAAGCAAAGCACCGCGATGTTCTGCATCGTGCGCAATTTGCAGTAACATTACGCAGCCAGCAATTGACGGTAGACACAAGAGAATGACCACAGGCCCCTTCATCTTGATGACGGTTGCCAGCCACGCTCCACCCATAGTGGCTACAAGCTGTACGGCACCGAACGGAATGTTGAAAAGAATGGTCTTGAACTGATCGAATCCAAAGGACTTGATAATAAGGGGGCCGAAGGTGGAGATGCCGCCGCTGGGGATCCTGCTTCGGTGTGAGTGATATTGTTGGCGCAGCGAGTTCCTGGTCCTCTTACGAGATAGAAAACATCAGAGCAAACCAAATCCATGACTTCAGGTCCAAGCAGGTCTCTTTCACATGATCCCAATTCCAGTGATGAGTCTCGATCCCTTGCTGGTTCATGCGAAGTCTAAATCCTTGTTAGGACCAATGTGCCATAATTGCCGCCCCGAAAATCTTCTGGTAGAATACCTTTCAATAGCGATCAGTTTGTCTTCCTCGTTGAGAAATTTAGCACGTATGGGCGAGTCCGGCATATACAGCCTGAACAAGGCGCGTTAGCAACTTCAAAAATTAGGGATGATTGAACAGCATCTACTCACAGAACCACCACGGAAAACACGACCGTAATGAGACCGAAAAATAAGAAGATAATCTATTGGATAGTCAGTCATACGTTTGTGGACGCTGAACAGGTGCAGTATCACTCACCTGGTAGGGTTCAAAGATCGACGAGGCGATATGTCCAAGACCCCAGGTTATTAGACTGCCGAACTATTTGGTAAGATGGTTGTTAACACAGCTCTGGAAGAATGACTGAACCTTTTCAAATGCTAAACTTACCATAAACACTACACCATTCATGGCGTACCATGAGCCCAGTCGAACCGGCTGCTCGAGCCGACGATACCACATCTGCGTAACGGCGATAAAAGCCGGGGCTTCGCTCTCACAGTCAGTAATCAGTGATGGATGCTGACAACGATATGGAAACACTCACCAAGTCCGGCCTCAAATAGACCAAGGAACATCCGGCAGACCAGCAAGCCTGGGAAGGTGTTCGCCGCCGTCATGCATGTCAACGAGACACCCCACAGAAGAGTGGTGCAGGCTAAGAATTTCCCGAGGGGAATCTTCACCAAGATATAGGCGATCACGGGCTGAGCAACGAGCTGTGCGACATAGACGACCGAACCTAACCAAGAGTATTGCTTGCCATGAAGATGGGCTTTCTCGATCAAACCGAAAACTGATGCATACGAGAGGGTCGACTTGTCCAGCTGTTGCAGGAAATAGATACCCAAGAGTATAGGCAATAGCCTCAAGTCGATCTGTCGCAGAACTCGAGCGTTGTTCTCTGCGGTAAGGACTGTCGAGTGGCCCACTTGCTCAATGAGCTGAAGGGCGTCATCTTTCTTTGTCTGGCTATGTTGCGTATGACCTTGATAAGGCGCAGGATGAACTGTCTCGATCAGTTCCTCATCTCCGCCCTTACCCTGTGCCGGCTGTGCTGCGAGGGACATGGCTCCCTTGCGCTTCCCTAGACTTGATTGAAAGCTCCAGATAGGTGAAGTCTTCTTCAAGTGCCTAAAGGCCAAAAGACAAGCTAAGGAGAAAAGAGAGGGCGTGACTCTGATAGTATGCGTCGCCAAAGTCACTGTGGGATATGCAAGCATACAATGTCGGTTCCGTGACGATCTGTCATGTTGATCAAGGGGACCTTTTTATCCACCGAGGACTGATAGTCTTCGAGAGTGAGGTATGGGGAACCCCGTGGGGAGGTCAACCCCGGACGACGCGACCCAAAACCCGACGGCAAATGACAGCGGAAAATCATTATTACCTGGGTCTGCAAAGTCAATCGCGAGACCAAGGCCATCTAGCCTTGGTAGCATATGGGAAATATGAAGCTAAAACATCAGATTGCATGGCATGAATCTTAGCGACGGGCAACCTCCGGCGCCTCGTCCAATCAATCGAACGGGACCAGAAGTCTACGAAGCGGGGCGAAGGTTCGTGTTAGTCCGGGGAGATGTTGGTTTCGGATTTCGGCAGGAAATCCCGATGGCCATATTCAACATGAAGAGTCACCAGGTGAGACAAGTCGCGGAGAAGACGGCGATGGACCGACGAAGTTATGCGGGGATGAAGAATGTCAACGGAGATAGAAACCGAAGCCCGATCATATACTCCTCGGTGACACTACTCGTAGGCTTATCCACCTTACCCTTTTTCGAATGAGGGGATAATGAGGAGAAGCATTGAAATAGATATGATGTCGTCGTACTGTAGGATTCTTCTCCTGTAAAGTCTCCGCGAGAGTTGTCCTGACCTGCTTCTTTCGAATCAATTGACCTCGCGGTGTACCGAACGAACTATAAGCGATCATGCCTCAAAAGGAATTCTGCCCCAAAGGCTACCAAGAACAGCCTTCAGGAAATACCGCCACGGACCCCTCAGTGTATCTGCGCTCAGGAAACTCGAAAGATCGTTCCTTTAATTTCTCATTCGAACCGATTCGTCAAAACCTTTTCCGTGTGACATTTTCCTCGCAAGACCATCCTCTTCCTCCCTATCCGAGCATCTCGAAGCCAAAAACAGACCTCAATGGCATTCATGTATCTGCCACCGGTGGCGGTTCATCCAAGACAATTGAGGTCGGCGACGTGACGGCCACAGTCGACTGGAGCGAGACTCCAGTAGTCTCGTTGTCGTGGACCGGTGAAGAAAAGCCCCTCCACCGGGATCTGCCATTGCGCTCGTACGTGACCGACGCAACCGGCATCGCGCACTATTCTGAGCACGACCGGAATGCGCTTCATGTTGGGCTGGGAGAGAAGAGGGCACCCATGGATCTCACCGGGCGTCACTTCCAGCTTTCGGCGACAGACAGTTTCGGATACGATGTTTACAACACAGATCCGTTGTATAAGCACATCCCGTTGCTGATCAAGGTGACTCCCGCTGGTTGCGTGGCCATATTCTCAACGACACATGCCAGAGGGACGTGGTCAGTCGGTTCCGAAATCGATGGACTCTGGGGTCACTTCAAGGTGTACCGTCAAGACTATGGTGGCCTCGAGCAGTATCTGATCGTAGGGAAGACACTCAAAGATACCGTGAGGTCATATGCAGAGCTCCTTGGCTTCCCGCTCCTTGTACCTCGCTGGGCTTATGGCTACATCTCTGGAGGCTACAAGTACACCATGGTTGATGACCCACCTGCGCACCAAGGACTCATGGAGTTCGCGGACAAGCTCAAGGAGCACGGCATTCCATGCTCTGCCCACCAGATGAGCTCGGGCTACTCAATTGCAGAGACTGAACCCAAGGTCCGCAATGTCTTCACCTGGAACAAGTATCGGTTCCCCAACCCCGAAGAGTGGATTAAGAAGTACCACGCTCGAGGAATCAGACTCCTTACCAACATCAAGCCTTTTGTGCTTGCGTCACATCCAGATTACCAGAAGCTTGTCAGTGCAGGGGCACTGTTCAAGAAGCCCGATACTCAGGAACCGGGCACAATGAGACTATGGAGCGCAGGAGGTGCGACCGGTGGTGATGGATGCCACATCGATTTTACCTCCTCCTTCGCTTTCCGATGGTGGTATGAAGGTGTCCAGAGCCTGAAGCGAGCCGGAATCGATGGTATGTGGAACGACAACAACGAATATACGCTTCCCGATGATGAATGGCAACTGGCTCTGGATGGATCAGTAGTCGCTGAGAAGGCAAAGAAACAGAGCGACAAATCCGTCGGGCTCTGGGGCCGCGCAATGCATACTGAACTCATGGGCAAGGCATCTCATGACGCCTTAGTCGACATGGAGCCCAAATACAGACCATTTGTTCTCACAAGAAGTGCCACTGCTGGCACTCTTCGGTATGCAGCCAGCTCATGGAGTGGAGACAATGTGACTAGTTGGGAGAGCATGAAAGGCGCAAACGCCTTGTCTTTGAGCGCCGGTATTTCACTGTTGCAGGTAAGACTTCGCCATAACAGACTGAGCTGGGCGAACATTGCATGCTGACTCTTGATAGTGCTGCGGCCATGATATTGGTGGTTTCGAAGGTATGCCTCCTCCCTTGAGAGTACTGTTGAAGACGAAGAATCTGACTGTTTCCTCAATAAGGACCACAACCCTCTCCCGAACTCCTCCTCCGATGGGTCCAACTAGGTATCCATTCGCCCCGGTTCGCCATCAACTGCTTCAAAACGTCGCCCGGAAACACCTCTGTGGGAGATGTCATTGAGCCCTGGATGTACCCCGAGATCACTCCGCTGGTCCGCGACACCATCAAGCGCCGTTATGAGATCCTCCCCTACATATACTCCCTTGGTCTGGAGAGCCACCTGACCGCTTCTCCACCTCAGCGCTGGATTGGATGGGGTTACGAGTCCGATCCAGAAGTCTGGACCAAGGCTCTCAAGTCCGGAGAAGAACAGTTCTGGTTCGGTGACACTATCCTTGTTGGAGGCGTGTACGAGCCCGGTGTAACCGTCGCGAAGATGTACCTTCCCCGTAAGGCGAATGATGAGTTCGACTTTGGGTATGTCAACATGAACGCGCCCTACACCTATTACGCCTCCGGCCAGTGGGTCGAGATTCCTTCTCAATGGAGAGAAAGCATCCCGCTTGTTGCGCGTATCGGTGGTGCCATTCCTGTTGGAAAGCCCGTTCAAACCAGAGTGCCTGGGGATGAGACTGAGGCTTCATTGGCTGTAGAGGAACTTGACGACTACAGAGGCGTTGAGATATTCCCTCCCAAGGTCAGCTCTCATGGTCGTGTCTTCACCTCTAGCTGGTTTGAGGATGACGGAATTTCCCTGCAGCCTACGATGTCAACGTACATCATCAGCTACAGCTCGACGGAGGAGAAGGTAACTGTTGGATTCAAACGCGACGAAGAGAGCGGCTTTGTTCCCGCTTGGAAGGATCTGGATATCATCTTGCACAACGGTGACGAGAGACGCGTTGTGTCTGATGATGGCAGGCCTGTGGAATACAAGGGGAGAGACTCTCGAGGCCGCGTTGTTTTTACTTTGAAGAATTAGATGCTACAGCGTGATGAGTCACACAGTTCCTGAATAGCCGATTCTCTGTAGTTGGCAATAAGGCTATGCACAAAGGAAAAGAAAGAGAGGCTTAGCGTTGCAGAATAGAAAGATAGACGAGCTTTGAGAGAATTCACGTTGAACTTCTTGAACTTATTGCTTCAGATTTCGCGGTTGAACACCCGGCTGACACTCCATACCGAACAAGATATGGATCCTTATTGATATGGCCGCTTGCTTGAGAGGATATAAAGGAAGATCTCCCGGAAAGTTGACTTGAATTGAAGCTGTTAATACAGATGATCGCACCAGAAAGTGAGAAGACTTTACATAGCTCTATACAATACAATCCCTCAGTTGATTGAAATACCGGACTTTGGGTATGAAATAACAAAACCTCACTAAGGGTCAACACACATCATTGCTGGTTTTCGGCGGTCTCAGCCATGTTCTCTGGAAGCTTGATGCCGAGCTCCTTCAGTGTAGGGAGTCTGTGTGTGATCTTGCCCTTCTTCGCCTCCTCCAGTCTCCGTTTTTGGCCTGCCTCTCCGGCTCTTCCCAGGACACCAGCAATGACAGCCACGGAACGCAAACTGTCGTCATTCGCAGGAATGGGGTAAGTTACTTGAGTTGGGTCGGCATCCGTGTCGATGATGCCGATTGTTGGAACATTGTTCAAGCCACACTCGTGCAGTAAAACAACATTCTCAATGGGATTAAAGCACACCACAAGGTCTGGCTTAATTGCCGGCTGATCCGTCCGAGAATCCTTGAATTCCGGCAATTCTTCGTCAAACGCATTTACCACCTTGGTATCGCAATGGCCTAAGATCTGTTGTCCATTGGTCAAGCTGCCAGGAATCCAACGTTCAAAAATGTGGTAGCCTTTGGCCAGCTCCGCGGCCCGGACAACAGCCCGTTTTTGACCCTTTCGTGTGCCGACGAAAAGAATCAATCCACCTCGGGCAGCAACCTCTTCCACAACCTTGGCTGCACGCCGCAAGTGCGCTGCAGTTATATCGAGCGAAATAACATGAACACCTTCTCGAATACCAAAGATATAGCGCGAGTTCTGCGGGTTCCAGCGAGAAGTAGAATGGCCGAGATGTGTTTGAGATGCGAGGAGCAATTCGAGGGTGATATCGGAGGGTCGAGGAGGATTTCGGATCAGGTCTTCTGGTTGGTATGCGACTGCTACATCACTACCGAGGGCGTGAAAATTGTGTCCTGCAAGGGTATAAAGTCAGAACTCTAGCAGGAGGTGGAGGAAGATTGTTCGTTCTCGCTCACTTTGCAGTTCGCGCTTGCGCCACGCCTCCTTGGCTGACAGCGCTACTGAGCCTGTCTCTTTAGCGGCGCTGGCAGATGAACCCGGCTGCTGCGTTACTTCTTTTGCGGGGGTTTCTACTGCGGTTTCGACAGGAGTTCCTGTCGAGGAGAATCGGCTCAGGATGCGAGTCTGTCTATTCAGAGCAAGTTGGCGACCTGCAGAAGACTGATTAACAACAGATTTCAAATGATGTTATATCGAACAACTATCAATTGAAAACATACTCTGCCGCACGCATAATTGTCGAACAATCATCTTGAAATATGCTGAATTAGAAGGTTGAGCTGCTCCGTATGCGAAATGCTCAGTTTCCGGCCGATCGAACTTTTGATGTCGGGCTTGGCGGATGTTCGGGCCTGAGGCACATATAATGCGCTAGTCCATTTTAGGGCGGGTGCACCCTTCATAGATCACACCCGCTGAACCACAGCTATATTGGGTATTTTTACTTGGAAGGGAGTGTGCAAGACAGTATATAAAGGCTCATACCATCAGTCTGTCATGTCTATTGCATTGCTGACAGTGAATTGTCCCACAGATATTCCCATTGACAAGAATGTCTTCGGGGACTCTTTTCTCTTCGTTCTCAAATGAACTAAAGCCATCGGGTGCTTCAGAATTCAGATCAGGATGAGAAGAGAAGAAGTGTCGCTATTATGGTATCCTTGTCTTGAATTTTACTCAAAATGAACTGTAAGGACACTTATTTCTCTGCCTGCCTAATTCTGGGAAACTGTGAAACATGCTTGTATTGTCTGCCATCTGCTTCGGAGTGCTCAAAGCCTCAAAGGGAAATTCTCAGAAGCTCTTGGACTGCGGATAAAGGCTTCAATTCATAGCCGGAGATCTTTCAATGGCTTGACATCAAAGGATACACAAGCATACAAAGTCTTACAACCTGACTCACTGGCCAGCACTGCAGTCTCTTCAACACCATAACCACCTGTTGCGCATCTGTGAAGTACCTCAGCACCAGAAAATGAAATGTGATCAACGACAACTGTAATACTATCTGGAAACAACTATATGCAGGCGATATATGTACCCTGGCCGAGGAATGGTTCCGAAGCAATCGTCGGCCCGCTATCAAGGCCTAACGGCCGACCGGTTGTCTCGCGATGAAGCTATAGTCATGCGGCTCGAGAGTCATGTCGACACGGCCAGTGCTACCATGACATTCAAGTCACCTACATAGACTGCGGAAGATACTCTGATCTGAGCGGACTCTTACCAGCTGAGGTCAAGCTCATTCGGTAGACGAACATCTTGGCCGCTTGATGATTGATGAAAGCAAAAGCCATCATGTTAGCAAGGTTCTTTGGGATGCATTGACCAAATCAATCAGCATCGCTCACGTTACTACGGCACAATATACGTTCTGCAAATCAGTCTTCGTCTTCAAAGTGCATATCGAAACAAATTAAATCTAGTCATTGGCCGTCAAGCAAACTGCCTCATGTGCAACATCGGTATCAAGGAAAAACAAGCGAAGCAGCAGCAAGTCATCCTCGTGCAGGTCAAAGTCATCACATAGATAAAAAGAGAAACTCGGAATTCCGTCTCAGCCGAGGACGATCCAAGAAATCTATTTCTTGAAGAAGCCGCCCAAGTTACCCATCAGACTACCGCCGCTTGACGAACCAGGCCCGCCCTGGTGACTGCCGTACTGGGAGCCACCGTGGCTGCCGTATCCGGGTGTATCGTCCTTGTTCTTGTGCTTCTTGACGGCGTCTTCCAGGACAGATCCCATGATGGCGCCTCCGATGGTACCCAGAATACCGTGGTCAGCTTTGTGGCCTGCGAAGCCGCCCGCGAGACCGCCCGCGAGAGCACCGCCGAGTCCTCGTTCGCCCTCTTGGGCTCCACCGGGAGCGTTCTGGTCATTGTAGCTAGTGAGAGAAAGGTCAGCTGATGTTGCCGGAAGTTTATGTACGTGAGAAGAGAGTGGTGGGGCAGGTGACATACCCAGACTGCTGCCCGTATGACCCCTGGCCCTGGTGTTGTTGACCGTACTGGTCGTGTTGACCGTATTGGCTCTGCTGGTGCTGGCCGTACTGATCCTGGTTGTAATCGCGCTGCTGGTTGTAGTAGTCACCAGAGCCTCCGTATTGACCGTGCTGCTGACCATGCTGTTGACCTTGCTGTTGGCCATATTCCTGGCCGTATTGCTGGTTAGGGTAAGACTGCTGTCCGTAGCCGCCTTGGGAGTATCCTCCCTGCTGGTATTGGCCTTGGCCCTGGCCGTAGCCTTGCTGCTGGGAATAATGATCGTATGGACCGGACATGATTGTGTTGATCGGTTTGTTGGAGTAATAGAAGGTGGATAAGATGGAACTTTCAAGAGGAGATAATGTGTGATTGACTGAAGAATGATGAAGCAGAGGTAAAGTTCAAGGGCGTCCCTCCTGTCTTTTATATCTACTACCTAGTAAATTATAACTTGGTACATGTAGGGCTGAGTTGATTGCTGACGGGATGAACCCCACAATCAGTCATTTAGTCGCGCCCAGGGCAATGAGACCACCGCTGGATCCCTATGGGACAATACAATAATCTGTCGGATGCTATCACTGTCCCGTCATCGATGGGGCGCTTCTGACAACCCCCATTGGTATGCGGATACTTCAAATTGTGGCTTAACCATTTCATGGCCATACATTTCGACTTCATGATCCATATTCCCAAATAAATACCTACGCCACAACGCGTTATGGTCAGCGAAAGGAGCGGGGTGGCTGTGGCCTTCCAAAAGCCCAGGGCTGAGTTCGACAACAATACGGAAAGTTGTACGTTCTATTACGCAGAACATGCCCCGCCAGATCTTCTGGGCTTTACTCGTTTAGGTAAATTTTGATCAGATCCTGAATTTCGATGCTAGATGGCTCCAATTATTATTAGCGACTGCATTCTTGGCTCTGGATATCAACAAGAGACTTGAAATTTCGAACTAAAGAAAACTCTCAATTTCTAGTTGCCTAAATCTCGACGAACTGGACCGCTGTTTGTTACCTATCGGATTGCCATTAAAATACAGTATATAGAGCCACCTGTGGCTGGGTCGAGTGGCTGTGCAATGGCAAGAGCGTAATGCATCTTGCTGTTATTATCCACTCCGTTGACAAACAACCATTATCCTGTGCCTGTCATTTCTGAATTCGTAATATTGTTCTTGCAAAGCTATATTTAGGGACTGCAATCTGTTCAATGTATTCATCGTGACATATCCGAGGTTGCCGACTTCCGTAAGGTATCTTGGATACCTTACCTTACTGTAGCAAGCACGCCCCTCCAATCATACAACTGCCTCACCCCTCACGTTAATTCCACTCAACAGGCAGCCATATTATTCGCATCTCCATTGACTACCTACCTATGGCATAGAGCTCAGTCCTTCGGCGCCGCGGACACAGAGAAACACAGGGCGAAACAAAAATGAGCCGCTTTGGGTTGAGCATGGAGATGGGTCTTTCGGCTCAATGGGCTAGGCTCTTAATCGTCGCGTTTCGGACATTCTCTGGGCAAGGCTACAAGGGGGAATTCCAAATCGCAGCTGCAAGATTTGAGCAACCATCTACTCGGAACTTGATATCTATATGCTTAGATACTGCTGTTGTCCGTATCCAAGTTCAGCCGACTTGACTGACTCTGTTATATACGTCCCTGCTCCCAC